ACGCCGTTTCGCAGTCGTCGGGTCTGGCTCCGGTGGGGCCCGCGGCGCCACAAGGCCTGGTTCCGGTCTGGGCCGTGGGCGGCGCCGGGCTGATGGTCCCAGCGAATGCTTTCTGGATGGGCCCGGTGGGCTCGGGTGGGGGACCGTCCGGCCCACAACCGCAGATATGGGCCCTGTCGCCGACGGTGACGCCGGTTTTCAACGTGGCTGGGGCTACCCGGCCCGTATCGAGTTTTGTGGCGAATAACGGAGGAGGAGTGGAGGTTCGGGCTCCGTCGCCGGCACTGTCAAACTCAGCGGTGAGTACGAGCACGGTGGGGCCGAGGGCGGCGAAGAGGTCGTCGACGACAATGGCGCCGAGCGTGAGCTCGTCGAGTAACAACAGTAACGGTAGCGGGAGTGGCGCGAGCAAGGCTCAGATGCTGAGAGATTTTTCTCTTGAAATTTACGACAAGCAGGAGTTGCAGTTCATGGGTCGACCCGTCGGCTCGCCAACAACTCATCAACATCAAACCCAGTGATTGCAAAACCGCCATGAGAGAGTGAGTGAGTGAAGTGGGTTTAGCGAGTTTTTTCCTAGTGTTCCGAATTTGATCAGAGCTGATGAAACAGCTGCAAATTCAAAATAAAAAAGAATTTAGAAAACCAAAAAAATTATTATTGGGTTTTTGTTGTTTTGCTTTGTCAATTTTCGTTTATTTGGTTCTGATTTCCTCTCTCAAAACTTGTATGCCTAAACCCAATCCACCACGCTCATAACTTTTTTTCTTTTTCTTTTAGATTAAATAATTTTTATAAAAATCAAATAATGAAATAATGCATGATAAAATTATCTTCATGCAAATAAATGGCGTTGGCGAGTGTAGTAGTGTACTGGCGGAGGTGGTGGAAGCTAACTGTCTGTGAACTCTTTTTCGGCTACCTTTTGTTTCCGGGTCGGACCGTACGCACACCTGTGAGGAAAGGTCACACGTGTTACGTGTTCGGAGTAGGCAGGGAGTTCGTTCAGCCTGGCTGGCTGGCTGGGGCTCTGTTTGTGTGTGGTGTGGTCCACCTAGAAATGGTGGGCCCAAACCCTTAGTTTATCCAAACCCTCGCATCTCCCACCCTCTTCAAAACGACGTCGGCAGTACTTCCCTCGTCAACGCGTTTCTGTTTCGGACGTGGAAGCCACGCTCGTTGTGGGGGCGTTGATTGGGCTGGGGGCATCAACGAGAAAGATGTGATCCCTCCCCGTGGAGGGTGGGCCATCGTTGAAGCTGTCAATGGCTGGGCGATGAGGTCGCGTGCACCGAGAGATGTGGTGGAGGTTGTGGGGTCCACCGGCTAACACTTGTGGGGATTTGATGTTTGGATTGGGCCCACATTTGCACTCCCCAGTCCCCAAGTTGGGTTAGTTGCTCCGATCGAGATGGGAAGACACAAGAAAAGATTGGGCTCCATATTCGTGTGGGCCCGCCTGCTGTACGTCTACGATGGACGGTTCTCATATCTGGTGGCCCATCTCAATATTTTATTTGTTTTTAATGTTTGATTGAAGATGAGTCTTTCGCGCTCACGTGGCTTAGTGCTGATCATTGATGCTTGGAGAACTCACTATTCAAAAATAATTTAAGCAAATTTAAATACATGCAAATGAATTACTGACTTGGAGAACTCGCTATTAAAGTCTTATAAAACTAACCAATTGCAGAATCTATAATTCCACAATATTCAAACCATTCAAAAAGACTTTGAGCAGACTAGAAATCTCCACTCTAGGTTTGAAGTGGTCCACGAAGTCTGCATCTGTGCTAACTTCTCACAATGACACAATTGGGCATGCCTTGCTTCTCATGTTTCCATCTCTTCGTCAATTCAGTCAGTATTCACACAGTAAAGAACCAGCTGAACCTCCAAATCTGAAATCCATCTTCCCTCTTTTCTCCTAAATCGTACAACCTCCTTACCCCTTTCCCAAATCCAAACTCCACTCAGAGATTCATAAACCCTAATCTTCTACTCCAGATTCTCCCAACTTCAAACCCCACCTCAAAGTTTTCTAAACCCGTGATTTCTTCTTCAGATTCTCCCAAAATCCGATCTCCACCTCAAATTTTCATAAGCCCTAGCCTTCTTCCCCAAATTTCCCCTTCTCACCCAAATACCCCTTTTTTTGAAATTGAATAACGCTTATTCTCCAATGTTAAGTGATTGAAAAGAAGTGAGGCCCAAACCAAGTAATGAAACGTCTCTTAATACTGACGGAACGGGTAACGTGAGACAATTTTAAAAAGTGTAGGGGGTTATTTTGAGACGTTTCAAAGAACATGTGGTAATTTGAGACAACTTTGAAAGCACAAGAGGCATGTACATAAATAAGCATTTATTATTTTATTTAAAAATATAATAAATTTGATGTGCGTTATATCTGAACGATATCAATTTATGTTGATTCAAATTCAATTACAATATAATGAATCTTGTAGAAAATGAAAAAGACAGTTTCTTCATACAATACAAGTTAACAAATTTATCATGCCAAAATCGTGGCACTCATGTGTTGACACGAATCCAACTTACTCTTTTTCATGTTAGTATGATTGATCCATATTCTAAAGGACAAAAAATTGTCTACACCCTATTCTAAAGGAGAAAAACTTGTCCACATTTTATGAAACATGGTGTTTTAAATATGGCACGTATGCCACTTACATGATGTAACATTTTTGAGACATTTGTGTCATGAAAGGGGGCAAAGTTTTCCTCCTTCAAAAGGTTGAGAAGTTGTGATAACTCCATGTATCACATTGGATATGATCAAGATAACTTTTGTTAGAGGCCTTAGATCACTACAAAACTTCATTGTCAAATAGCTAAAGAAAAAGAAAAAGTATACAATAATCCAAGTAGCTTCAATAAACTACTAAATCACATTTTCTCAAAAGGAAGTTTGGGCTATTGCTTGTGGCTGAGGATCGGGAGTTTTAACTTCTATTATTCCAAAAAAAGAAAAGAAAAAGAAAGTAAGGTTTGCTCTTCTTCGTCTCCCAAGTTTATTATTCAATGAGGTCCACAATATATTTCTCATTAAATGGTAGGGATCTATCTATCCACTACGTTGCAGTCAAGGGTCGCTGTATTTCTAAGGAATGATAAATTCTTGCAAAAAGAAAATGAAACGAGGTCAAAACTAGGAAGTGGCAATAAGAAGGTAAAATATGAGAGAGAGAGAGAGAGAGAGAGAGAGCATCTGTATGTTATTCTTTATGACCAAGTGACAACAATCTTAACAGGATAATGCTAGGAATCGGGGGTATGTTCTTTGGCAACATTAACCAAAGGATCAATTTCACATGTCATTTGGCTAATGTAACAAGTTTTCTTTTGTTTTGTTTTTAGTTGGAGAAACAACCTTAAAGCTCCAAACTATTACGCCATTAACACATCTGTCTATCAAATTATTAATCTATGTGTCATCAATATGTTGTTCATATAAGCGAAAACTAGGTCAATTGATGTAAAGATTCATAACTTTGTTTTTATCAATTATTAAAAGATAGGGACTAAACTATCACTAACAAAAAATCAGAGAGGTGCAAAGTGACCCTTAGTTCATGTGTCAATTGAAAACTTGCCTTAATAATTGATGTAAAAGGTAAACATCATTTGCCTTATAAATTAATGTGCTTCTTGAAGGGTACTTTGTGAGCTGTAATGCAAGGCAAATGTGCTTCCTCAAACATTGTTGTTTTAACCGTTGTTTGGCAACATTGTCAAAAACAGAACTAGCAAGAACTAGCCTGCGCTAACTGAGCTGTACGTACAAGGGGAATCTGCCGCCTGTGGACATTACAATCTTCAAATGTTTTTGCTTATATAAATACCAAACTAATTGGATCTTATCAAACATATCAACTTTGTACACATTGAGTTAGTTGGCACCAAATGGCCAAGGCAAGGTTGCATTTTCTTCCATATGCTTTGTTGCTTGCAGCATTTGTGGTAGCTTGCCATGGCCAAGAGAGAAAGGTACACAAATTATTTTTAATTTGAGAATTGGAACTGCATTTTTATTGATTTTCTGATGGAATTTGTATTTATTTGTGTATAGGTCCACATTGTGTACATGGGAGATCGGCCTCAGGGAGGCTTTTCTGTTGCCTCAACACACCATTCAATGCTACAAAGAGCACTTGGAAGGTTATCTACAATAATACTTAAAGTTCATACCAAATTGGGTTATTTTTTGATAAGTTGGGGGGGATGGGGTTGAACTTGGGTCCTCTTTCAGCATTGGCAAGAAACGTACTACTAGATTAAATGCTAGTTGGTTATTTTTGTTTTTCCAAAGTGGCATTTTGTCATAATACATACATTTTGAAATATCTTGAGAATTTGTGTTTCTCCAATTGCAGCACTTTGTCAGCAAAAGAGTCACTGATCTATAGTTATAGGAAGAGCTTTAATGGATTTGCAGCAAGATTATCAGATAAAGAAGTTGCAAAGTTGTCAGGTGAGATTTCCAAAAACAGTTGGTTACAAAAGGAATGAAAATGCGTTCGAAAGTTCTCGAGCATTTTTGTTTTCTCAATACATTTCAATTTTCAAGGCTAAGAAAGAAAAATATGAAACATATGGATTGCAGAAATGGAAGGTGTAGTTTCAGTCATTCCAAACCACAAGCTAAAGCTTCACACAACAAGGTCATGGGATTTCATGGGTTTCCACAAAGGCCAACTTGGAGCAAGTATAGAAGGAGAAGTTATTATTGGGGTTATAGACACAGGTAACACTTAAGAGATAAGTTAAAGAAAAATTCACATTCATCTCCTTTTGAAAAATTCCAAAACCTTCTAATTGTCTTTGGTCTCATAGGAATCTGGCCGGAATCTGATAGCTTCAATGACAAAGACTTTGGACCTCCGCCTCCAAAATGGAAGGGTGTATGCCAAGGCCCCAACTTCACATGCAACAAGTGAGCTCTCTTGCTCCCAAAAGGATTTATTTTCAAACATAACATAGCATTGAACATCATTAGCTGTCCCGTTATAAAACTAGTTATTGCTCCTCCTTCTATTCCTCTTGAAATTTTTACCCTCAAAGGGATTTGAGCACTACTGGAGGAGAGTTCAAGCACTATGTAAAGGGAGTCTCTAGAGATCTTGACATAATAAACATAAAGCACTCTTGCGTGTGATAAGTTTTCCTAAAAACTCTTGACATAATAAACATAAAACACACTTGTGTGCAGCTGATTGTTCTTTGGCTCATCTTTGATCACAACTAATGTAACACTTGAAAATGCCACAGCAAACTCATTGGAGCCCGATTCTACAATAGTGAAGACGAATATGATAGCAGCGAGTTCCATTCACCAAGAGACTCCATAGGACATGGAAGCCACACTGCTTCGACTGCTGCAGGCCGGGAGGTAGCAGCAAGTTACTTTGGGCTTGCTAATGGGACGGCAAGAGGTGGTGTCCCCGGTGCTAGAATCGCTGTGTACAAAGTTTGCTGGTTGTCAGATTGTGCTACTGCAGATATCCTTGCAGCATTTGATGATGCAATAGCTGATGGAGTTGACATTGTATCAACATCACTTGGCTCTGATGTTCCCATCCAATACCTAAAAGACCCGATAGCGATTGGGTCTTTCCACGCCATGAAAAAGGGTATATTGACATCAAGTTCTGCGGGAAACAGTGGGCCTTATCCGGCAACTGTTAGCAATTATGCACCTTGGATTTTGACTGTTGCTGCCAGCACCATTGACAGAAGATTTACTGCAAAAGCAGTTCTTGGGAATGGGCAAGTTTACTCTGTGAGTTTGAAACTCTAGAATTACATTACTAATAGATATTTGTACTATCTCAACTGACCATGTACAGTACTAAAGACGAGACGTATACTAGATGGTTAGTTGAGATGGTACAAATACTTACTGCTGTATCATCTTACTAATACAACATACCATGCAAATGAAGGGATTTTCGATTAATAATTTTGACCTAAATGGGAAGTCATATCCCTTAATATGGGGAGGAGATGCTGCAAACATCTCCAAAGGTGCAAGCTCAGAGTTTGCAGGCAATTGTGTACCTAACACCCTGAGTTCAGACAAAATCAAGGGAAAGATTGTTTACTGTGATTCCTTCTCGGATGGTTCTGACATTCGAAGAGCTGGCGGCATGGGTATGATTATGGTCGACTTTCCCACTGATGTTGCATTTAACTACCCCTTACCCTCAACACAGATCACAATAGAAGATGGACAGAAAATTTTGAACTATATAAGATCAACAGAGTAAGCATTGTTATCTTTTACTTGGCTCTAAATAATTCTAAGTTTCATTTTCATGAATGGAGAATGAAACCAACCTTTTTTAGGAACCCCATTGCAACAATTCTGGTTTCTGATCCTGAGCATGATAAGGATGCCATGGCACCATCCATTGCGTCCTTTTCTTCTAGAGGACCTAACCCTCTAACCCCGGATATTCTCAAGGTGACAGAAAAAAAAAATGAATTCCATGAATCTCAATTATTCATTTTCCTATAAATATGTGTATATGTTGAGGTTGTGGATTAATTGATGTACACAGCCTGATCTCACTGCCCCTGGTGTGGATATACTTGCTGCTTGGTCTCCTGTGGCACCACCTTCTGAGACCTTCTATGAGGACACACGGAGCGTTAAGTACAACATAATCTCAGGGACTTCCATGTCCTGCCCTCATGTTAGTGGTGCTGCTGCCTATCTCAAGGCTGCTCATCCAAGATGGTCTGCTGCTGCAATCAAATCTGCCCTCATGACCACAGGTATCAACAGTCTAACTACATACATATGTACTCATTTTTACTGCATTCCTCTTCTAATCATAAGTAGTGTGCCTTACTTTTAGTCCCTATAATTTGCTCGAATTTTCACTTTCGTCTCAGTAGTTTAAAAACACGCAACCCGTGCATCGCATGCTTCCCACGAGTAAGGGTATTTTGTCATTTCGTGTGCCTTTGAAGCCTCCCAACATGGATTTGAAAGGGTTTTTACTTTGAAAAATGGGAATTTAGGGTTGACAACCTCATTAACCGCTGCTGACAGCGTTAGTAATTTTAAAAAGTTAAACTAGAGATATAACTGGAAAACTCAACAAACTACATGGACAAATAGTGTAATTTTATGTCATAAAACTGCACTAGCTCAAGTCCTAGGTCTCATTTTCTAACAAACTACCCTTAATTTTTTCTCCCCGTGAACAGCTACTGTCCTGGATTCAAAGAAACATGCAGACCTTGAATTCGCTTATGGGTCTGGTCAGATAAATCCTCTGAAAGCAGTAAAACCTGGCCTCATCTTCGACACATCAGAAGCAGACTACATAAATTTCCTTTGCAAACAAGGCTACAACAACACTACATTGAGGATCATCACTGGTGACAAGAACAGTAGCTGTGGCAGCACAAAGCCAGGTAAAGCTTGGGATTTAAACTACCCCTCATTCTCCCTTCAACTTGAAGATGGCCAAGAGATCAAAGCTGAGTTCACAAGAACAGTCACCAATGTTGGCTCACCAAACTCAACTTATACAATTGCCTCATTCTCACCCCTCTCCACAATCACAGTTTCTGTTTCACCATCTACTCTTTCTTTCTCTTATGTTGGTGAGAAGAAATCATTTACTGTGAAGGTAACTGGTCCAAAGATTTCACAGCAGCCAATCATATCTGGTTCAATTGTATTGAGTGATGGGGTCCATCAGGTGAGGGCTCCACTTGTTGTCTACACATTCCTGCCTGGTTCTATTCATATCTCATCCTCTGCCTTTCAGAACAAGAAAAGATTCAAAGGTTCTTCCTTGTATCACAGAAATGGGATGCTCAGGCACACCTAGAAATGTTCTTAATTCCATCAAATTAATCAAGTTGGTTTGAAAATAATTGTAAAAATAATAAGGCCTAGTGCACTCTTGTATTGCAACATTAGTTTTAGCTTATTTGTCGAATTGTGAACTGTATTTGAATTTTAGTTGTACTATCAATTGATGAAATACTATAATCAAAATCAAATATAATGTGGAAGAAAAGGAAAATTACTGTATTACCATGCTACACAACATTCATGGTATTTCCTAGATGAACATAATATATCACTTGTTGCAGAAAAATTATGTTAACACATATGTGATCAACGCTCAACGTTCAAGTACATGCATTAACTGCAAGAAACTGTTAATGATTATTTGGTCTAGTGACACTAATAGTTTCTAGACTCTCAAGTTCTCCATATTGAGTGCATGCTTTTCATAATATCGATGGATTGTATTATATATTTGTAATGAAATGTTAAACATAAATCATATGTTTGAAGCAAATTAATTTCAAATTTGGTTTAGATCAATAAATATGTTCATAATTCAGGTTTAGTTTATGAAGGATGAATCTCCTTATATCCAAAGCTCCTTATTAATTTACCCATGTTGACTGGAACCCACAATTGTAAAGTGATAGGTACATAACTATATATTATATCCACTAAATTGCAGTCAAGGGACGGTGAGTTGATCAAGGAAACATTAATTATTGCAAAAATGAAACAAGATTGAAAACATTGACTTGATAATAACAAGGAAAAATGAGAGAGACAAAAGTGAAAGCTTTTTTTTTAAAATGAAGAAAAATTTAGGAAGAGATTGGTTACTTCCATTAAAAGCGCGTTAGATCCAAAGCTCAAATCGGAAGAACTTACGGTGTCGCACCCGAAGTAAAAGCTTATTTGTATTTTGGGAAAGCTTACTTGCAAGTGACAACAATGTTAGAGGGACCCATGAGAGCCTCAAATGGTTTTGAAGTGGGATTGGAGTGGGAGATTGTGGGTTCAAGTATTATAATAACAAAAAATAAGGGTTATTCGTAGCCATAGTCTCTCAATTATACTTGAAGTTACATTTTGGTCACTCAACTCAAATATTAGTTGCAGAGGTCACTCAATTGGGTGTTGTGTTACACCATTAGTCCATACCGTCAAGTCTATGACTTTTTCTGTTTAAAATTATGACTTGACAAGCATCTTTTAGATTATTGAATGACTTTTTATGTTTAAAATTATGACTTGACAAGCATCTTTTAGATTATTGATGGGCAAATGTGACTTTTCAGTTAGGATTATTTGTAGCAATGATCTCTCAACTATACTCGGAGTTACATTTTGGTCACTTAACTCAAAAAATACTTACAGAGGTCACTCAATTATGTGTTGTACTGCACCATTAGTCTCTACCGTTAGAGAGACTTGACGGTAGGGACTAACGGTGCAACACAACACCCAATCGAATGACCTCTGCAACTAATATTATTTGAGTTGAGTGACCGAAATATAACTCCGAGTATAATTGAAGGATCATTGCTACAAATAACCCCAAAAATAAATAAATAAAGAAAACAAAAAAATAAGAATAATGTTAAAAAGATCACATTTTTTAAGCTTGTCAAATATATTTGGTAATAAGTGAATTTCACTAGAGTCATAGACGATCACCTAGTAATACTCGTTACAGCAAGTTAAATACATGGATTGAGATAACAATGACCTCTTAACCTTTTATTTTGGTCTTTTATGGGCAAATTGGCAATATATTTTTGTTGATTTTGTACATATTCCTTTAAATAATGGAACAAAATTATTTTTACTATTTGTGTTGGTTATATTAATGGTTACATTTTTTACAACATCCACTGTAGTCTGTATGTAATGAACGTGGTCTACAATTAAGGATGCATGGTATACATGTTATCATTTAATATCTAGAACATAATGGACGCACGTTGAGAAAATCTTATTTTTACTTAATTATATGAGACTTAAAACCTAAAATCGAAGCTCTAAAGGGTCATTCTATATCCTAATCCAGTTAGGACATGGAGTTGAATTTGAAGAAAATTGAGTAAAAATGAGGTTTTCATGATGTTTCTTTTCTTTAGGAAAGAAAAAGGGACGTCATGTAGAGGGAATCTCTGTCCGTATTATATAGCATTACTCATAACAATGTCGTTGTGTTTCCTTAAACAACAGGTTTCTAAGGCGACAATTACAAAACCAGAAGCAACAAAGTCAGGCCTGCCCCATTGATCTCTACGATGGAATTTGCAGTCCGTAGACATTACAATCTTCGAAGTTTGAGCTTCTATAAATACCCACTTGGATCTTCTTATCAAACATATCAACTTATAGACTTGAACTCAGTTGGTACCAATGGCCAAGGCAATGCTGCATTTATTGGTTATATTAATGGTTACATTTTTTACAACATCCACTGTATGTAATGAACGTGGTCTACAATTAAGGATGCATGGTATACTGTATACATGTTATCATTTAATATCTAGAACATAATGGACGCACGTTGAGAAAATCTTATTTTTACTTAATTATATGAGATTTAAAACCTAAAATCGAAGCTCTAAAGGGTCATTCTATATCCTAATCCAGTCACGGCATGGAGTTGAATTTGAAGAAAATTGAGTAAAAATGAGGTTTTCATGATGTTTCTTTTCTTTAAGAAAGAAAAAGGGACGTCATGTAGAGGGAATCTCTGTCCGTATTATATAGCATTACTCATAACAATGTCGTTGTGTTTCCTTAAACAACAGGTTTCTAAGGCGACAATTACAAAACCAGAAGCAACAAAGTCAGGCCTGCCCCATTGATCTCTACGATGGAATTTGCAGTCCGTAGACATTACAATCTTCGAAGTTTGAGCTTCTATAAATACCCACTTGGATCTTATCAAACATATCAACTTATAGCGTTGAACTCAGTTGGTACCAATGGCCAAGGCAATGCTGCATTTTCTTCCATATGCGTTGTTGCTTGCAGCATTTGTGCTAGCTTGCCATGGCCAAGAGAGAAAGGTATACAGAGTCTTCGTTTTCTTATGTGTAAAATAGACCTGAATATCAGCATTTTACTGATCACAAAATTTGTATCTGTTGTGGTATAGGTTCATATCGTGTACATGGGAGAGCGGCCTAAGGGGGATTTTTCTGTTGCTTCCACACACCATTCAATGCTGGAAACTGTGCTTGGAAGGTTAGTGACACTATTTAAGACTAGCATAACTTGGCATTTTTTTTTATGAACATTGGCACATTGTCAAACACTCAAATGGGTGATCATAATTCATAATGGCTAGAAAGAACAGAAAGCTTTGCATCATAGGTAAATGCACTTTCCATTTGAAATATCTCAACCATTTGTGTTTCCTCAATCGCAGTACTTCGTCAGTCAAGGACTCACTGATCTATAGTTATGGGAAGAGCTTTAATGGATTTGCAGCAAGATTATCTGATGAAGAAGTTGCAAAGTTGTCAGGTGAGATTGCCAGGCTAAAAAACATGCAATAAAGTTGCAAAGATCTCAAGCCTTTGTGCACTTTTTCTAAATACATTTCGAAGCTAAGAATAAGAAAACATGGGTTGCAGAAATGGAAGGTGTGGTTTCAGTTCTTCCAAACCACAAGCTAAAGCTTCACACAACAAGGTCATGGGACTTCATGGGTTTCAGCAAAGGCACACTTCCAGCACCTATAGAAGGAAAAGTTATTATTGGGGTTCTAGACACAGGTAACACTTACGAGATAAAGAAAAACTCACAATCATCATTTGAAAAATTCAAATACGTTCTAATTGTCTTTGGTTTTATAGGAATCTGGCCAGAATCCGATAGCTTCAATGATGATGACTTTGGCCCTCCACCTTCAAAATGGAAGGGGAAATGCATTTTTTTTTATGAACATTGGCACATTGTCAAACACTCAAACGGGTGATCATAATTCATAATGGCTAGAAAGAACAGAAAGCTTTGCATCATAGGTAAATGCACTTTCCATTTGAAATATCTCAAGCATTTGTGTTTCCTCAATCGCAGTACTTCATCAGCCAAGGATTCACTGATCTATAGTTATGGGAAGAGCTTTAATGGATTTGCAGCAAGATTATCTGATGAAGAAGTTGCAAAGTTGTCAGGTGAGATTGCCATGCTAAAAAACATGCAATAAAGTTGCAAAGATCTCAAGCCTTTGTGCACTTTTTCTAAATACATTTCAAAGCTAATAATAAGAAAACATGGGTTGCAGAAATGGAAGGTGTGGTTTCAGTTCTTCCAAACCACAAGCTAAAGCTTCACACAACAAGGTCATGGGACTTCATGGGTTTCAGCAAAGGCACACTTCCAGCACCTATAGAAGGAAAAGTTATTATTGGGGTTCTAGACACAGGTAACACTTACGAGATAAAGAAAAACTCACAATCATCATTTGAAAAATTCAAATACGTTCTAATTGTCTTTGGTTTTATAGGAATCTGGCCAGAATCCGATAGCTTCAATGATGATGACTTTGGCCCTCCACCTTCAAAATGGAAGGGGAAATGCACAGGTGCCAACTTCACCTGCAACAAGTGAGCTCTCTTCCTCCTCAAAAGATCAATTTGAATGCATTGAACTGCTATAAGTTTCAGATGCTATTACAGCAAAGCAAATAAGCAAAGCAAGAAATATGAAAGATTTGTCATAATAACATATAGCATTCTTGTGTACAAATGTTGTTCTTTGGCTCATATTAATCACAACTGATGTAACATTTGACATCACAGCAAACTCATTGGAGCCCGCTACTACAACAGCGAAGACAACTATGACACCACTGACATCAAATCGCCAAGAGACTCTGAAGGACATGGAAGCCACACTGCTTCGACTGCTTAAAAACTCACAATCATCTTTTTGAAAAATTCAAATACGTTCTAATTGTCTTTGGTTTTATAGGAATCTGGCCAGAATCCGATAGCTTCAACGACGATGACTTTGGCCCTCCACCTTCAAAATGGAAGGGGAAAT